AAAGAAAAAAGTCAAAAAACTAATACTGTTATGCTTCCAAAAGATATTCTTAAGAGAACTGCTGATACTGCTGTTGGGGAAGGAATAAGTCATAGGCAGCATGCTTCCATGATTAATAGTATAATCGCGAAATTGGGTGGAAATGTAGCTGAATTTAAATCTTCAACCTCTACAGCATTACGCGCTGCAGATAAGGTCATTCATGATGAATCAAAGAGGATCAAGGATGATTTAAGAAGTTTAAGAAAAATCAATAAGAACATTTTAGTTCAACTCCATTTTGATGGAAAAGTATGTCATGAATATACTGATGGGAAAAAATTGGAACAAGATCGATTAGCAATATTAATAAACGCTAACAAGGAAACGCACCTGTTGGGAATTCCACCCATTTCTTCTGGAACTGGCAAAAATCAAAAAAATGCAATCAGAGATATCTTAAATAGCTTTAACCTTACAGACAATAATCAAGCTGTAACATTTGATACTAGCAGAATCAACGCTGGAAAAAAAAAAGGAACTGTATCTTTACTGGTAAATGAAGTCTTTCAACGACCAGTTCTATCTATTGCATGCCGACATCATGTCAATGAGCTACACATAACACATTTCTGGAAAAATTATCAAAGTAGCATTACTTCTGGACCAGATAATCTGCTTTTTAAAACTTTAAAATCAGCATGGAATGATCTTGACGCAGACAACCAGGTAGGTTTTTACAAAATTAGCTACCATTTTGTGAAATAATATTTTTTCAAAATAATTTTCTTTTTTCAATTTTGAGTTCTTTGAATATTTTTTTTACGTTTTGAATAAATAAGGTTTTGAGAAGATTGACTATTCCAGAGGAAACATGGCTTGGTCATCAAAAGCATGATAGCATAACGTTCTGCAGAAATATTATCGCCAGTGGGTCTCTAAAAAAGGTAGCCAATAACTAGATATCTGAATTTGTAGGTATCTATGTAGTATGTACTTTTATGTTGAAATTTTTTCATAAATTTTTCTTTTTTAATTCTATTATTCTTTATTATACTAAAATATAAATAGGTTTATTTTATTATACCTAAATACTAATTATTTTATTTCATTTTAAGGATGGGGCTACAAGGAAGGACTACATTGAGCTGGCAGAGCTTACACTTATAATGCTTTCTGAGGACAGGTATAAATTTCGTACTCCCGGAGCAGTCCACCATGCCCGCTTTATGGCAAAAGGTTGTAGGTTCATGATAAAAAAAGGTTCAAGTTGCAAAAAAAAGGAATTTGTTTTACATTATCAAGTATTAGTCTTTTTTAAAAAAAATTAAAAAAAGTTAAAAAAAATTTTAATTTTTTTTAATTTTTTAAAAACTTTTTTTTATAGGTATCTACTACCTAAAACTCCAACTTATGATGGATGCTATACCTAGTCTGGAAAAAGGGCTGAAGCATGAAATTACTGAAGTGGCAACTTTTGTCTCTGTTATCTATACTACCTGGTTTCTCAAAGCTGAACTATCTGCTGCTGCTCCGAATCAGGTAGGTACCAACTTAAAAAGTATGAAATATATATATATATATATATATATATATATATATATATATATATATATATATATATATATATATATATATATATATATATATATATATATATATACATACAGGATATAAGAGCGCTTTGGCAAATGAATAGGTTTAAGGAGTACAATTTGATTGGGGCAGAATCAGTCATTAAATCTATCAAACGCCACACATGGTTTCTGGACCCTTACCTTATTGTACTAGCTCTAGCTGATGAAAAATGTAAAGAAAGAGGTGATATTGCTCAAAAACTATACAGCTTTGAATTTCATAGTATGGATGAATATCCGTTAGCCCGAATAAGTGCTAACATAGAGGTCCTCAATTCTTTAGACTTCAATGGACCGAAGCCTCATTAGTTCATTTGGTCACAGAAAATTCGTGGCTATTGTTCCTTATGATAGGCCAAAGTAAAAGTGACTGTCAATGGATGAAAACCCCTCCAGAATATTGGACTTGCAACGATTTCTACTTAAAATTTCAGGAGGCAGTTTTTAATCTTTCAGTTGTTAATGATTGCTCGGAAAGAATCGTTAAACTCATAAAAGACAAAATTGATATTGCCCGAAAAGAAGAGAAAAGACAGGATTCACTTTTATTTTTGCATAATTACAAAAGGAAGTATGGAGGAAAAACTAAGAAATCCAAGAAAAACAAAAAAATAAACAATATAAAAATATAACATAACATTTTTAAAAAATAATTATAAATTTTATAGAAATTTAATTATAAAGAAATTTGTAAAACAAAATTGCTAGACGTTTTATTCAATATAATTAGATTTTTTTCGTTTCATGTAATTTAATGAAGTTTCATGCAATATAATAAAGTTTATATAGACCTTTAATGCTATATATAGATGTTTTATGCAACACAGTTAGGTTTTTTTTCCAAATGGCTTAACATATCCATAAAGATATTGCAATGCGTAATATTCAGTTAAAATCTGCATAACTTTGCGTTTTTGTAGATAAATTTACACAAATTATTTCAATAAAATAAAATTACCATGCATTTTAATTTTTTTATTCTAACTTAGAAAAAACTCTAGAAAAAAAAAAAAAATCAATTTTTTTGAGTTTTAGTACTTGCTCAAACGTGCGAAAAACGGGCTTAAAAAAGGGTAAAAAAGCCTGAAATATGACTTTTGAGGCACTTGAGCAACCCCTAAAAGTGGTCAAAATTAAAAAAAAAAAAAAATTCTACTAATAAAATAAGGGTCAACGCAGCAGATAACACTCCATGGTACTAAAAATTTTTTCATGACCTCAAAATGAAGCAGTCTAATATATATATATATATATATATATATATATATATATATATATATATATATATATATATATATATATATATATATATATATATATATATATATATATATATATATATATATATATATATATATATATACTATAATGCAATATTTATTACTTATTTATAATAAATCAATATAGAATATATTATACTCACTAGAGATATTTGCATTGTTGATTTTGATCCAAAAAATGTTTATATTTAGTAAGAAAGAACTTTTTTCTTTTTCCACACTCAATAATTTTTTTTATTAAATTAAAAGCCAGACTATTGAAAATGTTGAAATTCACAGTGCAATCAGCATAAAGTGATAAAAACTTGGACTGCAAAAATAGAGCACAGTCAGATACATTTTTACTCGTGAAAATATGCCTTGGAGGAAAATCATCAGCCAGAAGTTTGCTAAGATTAAAAGTAACCATTTTTAAAAAATTTTAAATCACGATGAGAGCAAACTTAAGTTATAACTTTCTTGACAAAAACAAACTAACCGGTTTTTAATAAATCCACCTCTTTTGAATTGATTTTATAGCATGTTACTACAGATGTTGCCAGAATATTATTTCACTTATTAAAAGTCAATTTGTTTGAGAAAATTTAAAAAAAATAAAAAACTGGCTACCTCTGTAGTAACATGGTCTAATCGATCAATCTTTACATACACCCAAAAACAATGATCCAAACTTTTTTTTTTTCTTTTCTTGGTTTTTAATTCACAAAATGTATCATTTATTAGAAAATGTGCAAAAAAAATGAAGAAATTTTAAAATTATCTTATGTAATTTAAAGATTTAGTGAAAACACGGTTTTTTTTACCCCTGAAAATCCCGCACCTTAAAAGGCAAATTTAAAAAAATTAAAAAAAAACTTTTTTTTATTAATTAATACTAACTTGTTTCAGTTAAAAAATATTTAAAATATTAAAATTGAAAAAAATTTTCTGAAAAGTAAGTAAAATCCTATTTCCGCTTCGCGATGCATAGTGCGGTGTAGGAGGAAATGCCTTGTAAAACAAAAAATTCTTTCTCAATCAGATGTTGAAGTTCAATCTGCTAAGGATTTTGCTGAATTAGCGTCACAACTAGTAACTTATACTAAAATTATTTACATTTCGCAGATGGACACTTTCAGACCATGGCAAGATGTCATTCCTATTACCGGCATATCAAATTTTCATATAATATCTTGTGATTCGAAGACAACTCGAGATAAAAAGCACGATTTAGATAGCGAAGATCAAATGTTCTTTTGCAAATAATTATTTTTAATTCTTATGTTTGTACGCGTCCGTCAGGTAACAAAACTGTCCTTCACGTAAGTTTACTATTTACTATATTTTATTAAAAACTGATTATTTTTCAAGAATCAAAAATTAAACTTTGTTTAATTAAATTAAACAATTAAAGAAAAAAAGTTGTATTTTTTTAATAATTCGCTGAATTTTTCCAATGCATTTACTTAATTGAAAATGTGGTATTTTATTTGTCCTACAAGTAATGCGAACAAAATGTTACAAAAATCAAGTCATTTTGAAAAGTCAAAGATAGATTTTACTGTATATTTAAAAAACATTTAAGTTTTTTTTCAACTATAATTTTTTTTGAAAAATCATTATTTGGTTCCTTGTATAATTTAATATTTCATTTCTAAACAGTGTACAAATGTCCTTCACGTAATAATGTAGTGCTCCTATTATACTGCAAAATATATCAAATTTAATCTTTTTATAATTTACAGACCCAATCATTTAACGGAAATATGTCGTAGTCAAAATAACGTACAGACCCTTTTATATTTTAAAAGTGCCTTTACTGCACCGAGCATCCGTCACTAGGAATAAATATAAAATCTTGATACAAAGTTCTTGGTAACAAAATATTGCTAAATAAATATATTTTTTAATTAAAATTAATTGTTTCCTTTAGATAATATTTACAATTAATAAAAAACCGTATATAGAAACTAAAAAGAAGGTGAAAGTTGACACACCCTAATAACCCTTACCATATAAATATTATATAAAATGCTGAAACTTGTAAGTTAGATACTCAGGCAAATAAGCAAAAATAACAAAAAGTAATGTTTGTTAAATAAATATATATATACATATATATATATATATATATATATATATATATATATATATATATATATATATATAAGAAGTAATAAAATTGTACATTGTATTGATGTCAAATCCTATTGATGTCAAATGCTAAATTTGGCCTTTGACGCCAGCTGTCAAATGGTAGATGGTGAGAACAAAAGCGAAATTAGGTGTCAAATGCGGCATTAGATATTTGGCATTCAACATCTGATCTTTTTCTTGCTCCCGCCATCTGGCATTTGACTGCTGATTTCGTCCTCGTCACTGAGGATTTAAAACCCCACCCCTGTTAAAAAAATGTGTGTGGTGTGTTCTGTTAGGTGCTACCCGCTTGCAATGATACACTCAGAGGAGATCACCCCTAGACATTTGACATCTTATTATGTTTGCATACCTATGATGACTATAGTAGATGTATAAATAAATCTATAAGACAATATAACCTGAAGATTATAGCTTATTTTGTCTATAAAACTGCAGTTTTCCAAAACTAATGATATTTAATTGTGCAAGCAAAGATATTAAAATGCGAATATAAATAAAAAAATAATTAAACTTCATAAAATAGTACAATATTAACCAAAGATTTAAGAGCAAGATCCTGGTCAGAACTCGTCACCTCCGGACCGTTTTCGAGACCCACTCAAGGGGGGGGGGGGGGCAACAACAGCTGTTCTTTTTTTAGAAAAAATGAACACTAGTTGGTTGTCTCTGTCAAATGGGTCTCAGAAAAGGTCTAGGGGAGTGTCTAGTCATGATCAGGATTTTGCATGCTGCATAAATATTAAAATGCCAATATGAATAAAAAATTACTAAAATTTCATAAAATAGCACAACAACCAAAAATTTAAGAGCAAACATAACAGCCTGCAAAATTCAGGTCAGAACTTGACATGCCCGGACCATTTTGGGGGCCTGCCCAAGTGGAGCAACCAACTACTGTTCCTTTTTGAAAAAAAATGAATAGCGATTTGTTGCCTCTCTCAAACAAGTCTTGAAAAGGGTCTGGGAAGTGCCAAGTGATGACCAGAATTTTGCAGGCTGCAAAGATATTAAAATGCAAATATGTAACAAAAAATTAACCTAATTCGATAAAATAGCACAATAATAACCAAAATTTAAAGAGCAAACAAAACAGCATGCAAAATCTAGGTGAGAACTCAACACCCCTGGGCCTTTTTTGGGGCCCGTCTGAGAGTGGCAACTGTTCTTTTTTTCAGAAAAAATGAACAGTGGTTGGTTGTCACTCTCGAAAGGGTCTCAGGAAGAGTCCGGGAAGCGCCAAGTAACAACCTGGATTTTGCAGGCTGCACACGGTACAACTAGTTTAAAAAACATTAAAAAATAACATCAAAGAACAACAATTTATACTGCTGTTGTTTTTACAAGAGGTAGTTACAGGTTAACAATGGCAGCAGCAATTATCCATATATCATCTATTAGAGGAAATAATGTGATAGACAGAGTGTTCTTTAGAAGTCGAAATTCTTTCAGCCTTCCAATAACATGTTCAATGTGTATTCTTGCATGTGCTATGTGCTTGCAATGATACACAATGATACAGGGTGTAAACTGTCGCTTACTACGTAAAAATGATGGAATTACAGCTTTTACCTCCCTTAATAGAAATAAATCTTGAACATTGAAACCTTTATTAAAAAGTGCAATAAACCCGGGAGTGAATCTTCTTGTAACATTGCAATCTTCAGCGATTAAACGATCTGAGGAAGATCCAGAGTAATCTTTAGAAAAAAAAGAGATAGAATTTAGTACAAAATATAAGTTTTTTTAATGTTTCTTTTTTTATAAGAACTATATGTTTGATATTGAGCTTTAGCATTAGCAGATTTTTGAATAGTTTGTTCAGTACAGTCACCAATACCTTCAACATAAACAAAATCTCCATTAAAATGAGGATGTGTAAAATTTAATGTTCCTTCTGGAGCAGGCCAATAAATTAATGGTTCAAGTTCTCGGGCTAATAAAGTTATAAATGTAGTTAAAATCCTAGACGCGTGAGTTACTGAAATTTTAAAGCGAAATGCTAAATCTTGTAATGGTGAGTCAAGTCGAATACACAAAGTAAGTAACACTTCATCTTCAACAAAAAGCTGTTGTGCTGGACCAGGTTTCCCTCTACTTGAAGGTTTACTAGCAGGACTAAACTGATATTGCTTTGGTTCAAATGAGCGTTTATGATCCATAAAATAAAAAACTTTTTTATGTTTAGCTTGAACACGACTAACAATATATAAAAAAACATTTTCAGTTAGACACTCAGTATACAATTATATGACTTTATGGAAAGAACACACTGCCTCCTATGTTAATCTTTTATGACTACTTTATTTATAAAGTGTTGTTGGTGTTAGATAAGTTGCTGGTGTGTTAGTAATTAAATTGAGCTGTTGTGGAGAAAGTTGCTGATCAGATGCTGTTGATGATAGACATGGAGATATTGACATTATTGTTATTGCTACTAGTAGTGGTACAGGTACTTGATGTGTGCTATAAATGTGTATTACTATGTTTTTTAGAAACTTTAGTAGGTGTATATCGAGGCATTGGTAATTTTATTTTATTTTGAGGAGATATTTTGTATCCTTTCAAATGTAACCTTGAATAAAGGGATAGCTCAGTTGGCTTCCCATATTCAAAATGATTTGCACATACTTTTGTATTCTTATTTACAGCATATAGCTTTCTTTTTTTTGTTAAAAGGTTGACTATTTCTCTGATGATAATTTTACTCCTTGTGGAAAAAATATTTCTCTTTACAAGTAAAAAATTTTAATTCGCTGAAACTAAAAGTCTTCCAAATATGATCTTTCAAAACATACTTTTCTTTGTATCCATGATCATTATTACAACCAAAAATTGCACAATGATTGCTCTTACCCATTACAAAAGAGTTTTGCAAATAAAATAAAAAAATAGTTGTTAAACCAAATAGATAATAATGGCCAACTTTTAAAAAACTAATTAGAAAACAACAGGATATTTACGAATTTAACTTTTGTTTGCTCCCAGGCAATCCCAAAATGCAATGTGTAGTTATAATGACGTTTTTATCTGGCAAAAGGTCTATTACATTTTCTAATAGACTTTCTCTATTTTTTTAAACTTTCATCAATTGTAGGTTTATTTTCAAAACTATTTTTTATAGATTTTATTTGTTAATCAACAGGAGGCCTAGCTTGTCTCCCGTTAACTAGATAAAATGGGGTTTGTTTAGTAGAGTCTTTTACAGAGACACAATATGAAAACAAAATACTCTTAATGTATAGATCTCACATGTTTTGCTTTTCATCAATATATTTTAAAAGTTGGCGCTTAAAAGTTTGATTGAACCTTTCATCTTGACTGTTGCTCTGTGGGTGGTAGGCACTTGTAACATTGCACTTTGTTCCCATCATTTTATTTAATTCATGGTTTACCTAAACAAAACAAAAACAAAAAAAAACTATTTATATGAAGAGAAATAATATAAGAAAATAGACCCATTATAAAATAAGCTGTAAAAAATGTTCGTATAGGGTTTGTATTAAATAATATACAAGTATAACATAACCTAATAAATATAAATTAGTTAATAAAAGAATTAAGTTTAGCAAGTTTTGGCTTATAACATTTTTGTTGTGCAAAATATTGACAAAGCCGAAAAAAATTTTTTTATATAAGTATTGCAGATGAGGCTGATTAACTGTTGTTTTATTAACTCTCATTTTGTTTATTAATTTAAATGAACAAGTTCTAAAGTTGTAAAAATTCTGACTTATTCTTTATTCACTCTTCACATCCAATTATGATATATCAACTTATCAAAATTTAGAATCATGAAAGTTATTACAAAAAATAGAGCTTTTTCCAAAAAAGTAATGAAAACTAAAAATCAATAACAAAAAAAAAAGACAAATAAAAAAACAAAATCCAACACAATACCTCATTAACAAACTCTCTTCCTTGATCACTTATCTGAACTTCACAACAACCATGTCTTGTAAAGCATGCATACAAGAACTCTGCTGCACTTGTAACTGTCTTATCAGATAAGGAAGCTGCTTCAGGCCACTTGGAGAATAAACAGGTTGCTGTTATGATGTATTTGTTTCCTTCTTCTGTTAAAGGAAGAAGTCCAATTAAATTGATTCCAACTGTAGTCCATACTTTAACTTTAATACTCATCTTTAACTTTAATAGGATGTAGTTCAGCTGAGTGTTTTTCAAATGCTTAATAAAGTATATTATGAAAGAAATAATAGAAATTATGCATATTTTAAGTTTAGTTACAAATTATAATTTTAGTTAAATAAGTATTTATCAATTTATATTATTTAAAAATTTTTCTACAATTATGTTAAACTTTTGTTATTACTTAAATGATATTTTTGTTATTACTTAGATAATATTTTTCTTAGATAATGCATTTTTTTACAATTATGTTTAAATTTTGTATAATATATTATTTAAGATATCTAAGATAATATATTATCTAAGTTATTATTAATGATAATATATATTATAGGTATTATACCTATTATAGTTATTATACCTATACTATACTATAAATATACCTATAATAATTATAGGTATATCCTTATAGGCTGGCTATAAGGATTATTAATAAAACCTGTAGTATTATAAACTATACTTATCATTGTTGTTATTGTTTTAAGTAATTATTAAATAATAAACATTAGTATATAAAAAAGTAAGTTATTTAACAAACATACCTTTTTGCTCTTTGACATTTATTACAATATTTACAAAAATTCTTCACACCATTTACCATCCCTTTCCATTAGTACCTCTTTGAGAGTTTTCCTAATGTTTTATCTCGACCAAAGTGACCACCACCAAGAATTGCAGAATGACAATTTAATCTTATCAATGCCTTGAGGGTATGTTCTACTGACAATTAAATCAACCAGATTGTTGTATTCTTCGTCGTTTATATTGATAAAATAATATCAAGAAAGGTAAAGAGAAAAAAAGCGGCAAATTTTCTTGCGAGCGGCAATTTTTCCTTGGATATAATGCAGTTTAGCAGCAGATTTTCCTATGAAGTATTGCCGCGAAATTTCCTAGCAGCAAAATTTCCTGTAACACCGTCCAAAAGAGATTTTCAAGGGGGTGGTGACGTGTCTGTTTTTAGCCGACTGAAGTCAAAAAAAAATTTTCGCCCACTAACTTATCTTACAAAAAAAAAGGTCCTCCTTTTCGGACATTTGCCGACTGCCAACTATAAATCCCATTTTGCCGACTCGAGCGTTCAATATGCCGACTAATAAAATTTGTTTAGGGGCTAGACACCCCTACGCCCCCTTAAGACGGCCCTGCTTTTACGGACTTACTAAAGTGAGAGCCTGAAATACTCGTCTGCTTTTATTGTTCACAAAGGGCACTTGGTTCAGATTTCTGAAAAACGTTAACACGTTTGTTAGACGTCTTAAACACGTCTTTAGCTGACTAAGTTAGTAAACTTATTGATATTTAAGTTATTACATAATTTATTTTAATATTATTTATTTATATTTAAATTTAGTTTAACATATTCATACATCATAGTTGGTCTAATACATTGTATTTGAATTCAAAAAAAATTAAATAAATAAATGAATATAATCACGGTCACACTGAATAACTTTTTTAAATCTATTTTTTTTTTAAATATTTTCTTTATATTTTTATCTTTTATTTCATAAATTAATTAATTTTTATTCTTTTTATTCAAATGTGTAATGATACAAATTTATACGATGTACAAAAACTAATAATACTTTAAAATAAAAGGTATCATCAACGAATACCAAAGTAAGCGTATTAAAGGTATAAGTTATTAATTTGTTATTAAATTAGTTTTTTTTTTTTTTTTTTTTTTTTTTTTTTTTTAATTAAATACAAATATATAAAGTAATAATTCAGAATTTTTTCAGAATGATTTCAGAAATTGTAAAATACTTATTAAATTTTGTATGTTAATCTAATAGAAAATTTCTTTGATGATGACAAGTTTTTACATAGGGTTAAATTAAACTTTATTATACTTTAAAATTTATTTCTAATTAGGTTCTAATTCATTAACAGTTTAGTAAAACTCTGTTAAATGGAGGCATTAAAAAAAACCCTTCAATATAATAAAAGTTTCTACGCATTACATCACTTAAGAACATAGTTTAATTTTGTAAAAATTTGATATTTCCTTGTAATAAAGAATTTTTTTTTTTTGTTAACACGACCCAGTGGACACAAAACATGTTTAAGATATCTAAAACATTTATTTAAATTTTATGTTGCTCTTGTTTTTTATGCTTTTATGGTTGTCAACGACAACTCTTATTATAAAATAGCACTTAAAATAAATATATACTTTAATTCAATTTATTAAAAAATGTAAATTTTTGTCATTTACTTAAGGATAAATACAAAAAGTTGTGAACTTTTTATAATGAATCTTTTCAAAAAATATTTAAAAAATTTAAATTATAAAATATGCTCATAATTTTATGATTTGAATCCTGGAAAAACATAAGTACAGATAAAATAATAAATTTTTTTTTAATATGATTTTTCTAAATTTTAGTACAATGTTTAATAATATAGCAAAAGAAATTCCAGAAGCTGTCAACTTTATTAATTATGAAAATCAAAAAAATAATTATAATGTTAACGTAGAAGTTGGCTCTTCATATTATCATTATAATGACCAAGTATTAAGTTATGGAAAAAGTTGTCACATTGATTTAGTTTTAGCAGCTGATAATGATGGAGATAAAAGTAAAAGTCAAAAAAGACACAGTTTTTTTGAAGCTTTGCAAATAAAAAGACTTAAACTATCTAAAAAGGCAATCTTGTCAAATGTAAGTTTTCCTTAATCATTTTATTCTTATCATACTTACATTTTTTGTCATTGCTTTATGTTAGTTTTTAAACAAACTTTTTATGCTTTTTTAAAGTTTTTGGTAAGCTTTGTAATGTTTTTAGTAATCTTTTTTTATAAATTGAAATTATTTGAGTATAGGTAACGTTGAAATGGTTCATATAATAATTGTTAAAATGGCTACATTTTGAGAATTATTATGACCAGTTTAATTTAACAATCAAAACCGTTTTATGTCACAGAATGATTTTGGTTGTTCAATATAATTGCTTCTTCTATTCTTAGTAAATAGCTATTGGGCGATTCTTGCATTACGTGTGTGCAAATGAAAGGGGCCATAAAAAATTGTTTACTACAGTTATGCAAGATATATGTAGCAAATATTATAGTAGGAAATGTGTCTGATATAAAATTATATTTCTCTTAAAAATGGTTATTGCGCATACTAGTAGCGAGTATAAACTATAAATTTGAATTTTAAACTTTGATTGATTATTTCTGCTAAATGGCTACGATTAGTTTAATGATTTTTTTTTATGTTACAGTCAACATGTTGATCTTTATAAAATATTTAAAATTTCAATAACTTCATAAAAATAAATGATAATCTTTAGTGTTACGTGTGTGACAAATTTTGTTACCTTTTTTTTTTTTATTTGCATTCACTCCCAACAACGCTGCAAGCAACCACTATCAAGTTGGGAGTTACTAGGAAAAAAAAGAACAGAGTTATAGAGCAAGGAAACGGTTGACAGAAGACTTGAAAAGTTGAAGGTTGTATGAGTCAGGAAAACATGAAGATGGGAGAGAGTTCCAAAGGATTGAAGTGCGGGGAAAAAAACTAGATGAATAAAAGTTTTTAGAACATGCAGGGACAGATACAGTAAACGAATGAGACTTAGCTGAATGACGAGTAAAACGAGAATGAATTTTAGTTGATGGAACTAGAGATGATAACTCCTTTGAGCAGTGACCATGATAGTATTTGTAGAAAAGAGAAAGAGATGCAACTTTACGACGATGGGAAAGAGGTTCAAGCTTAGCAGATAGTCCAGGTCTAACAACATTTACAATGCGTTTTTGGACCTTGTCAAGAAGAGAAAAGGAATCGTTAGAAGAACCAGCCCAAATATGACAACAGTATTCCATACAGGGATGAATAAGAGATTTGTAGAGGTAAAGAATGGAATCAGAAGTAAGGAAATGGCGAGCACGATAAAGAGAAGCAACCTTAGCAGAAGCTAATTTAGCAATCGATTGTATATATGGTTTCCATAAAAGGTCAGTAGTAAGCGATAATCCAAGAAGACATAAAGAGGACGACTCAGTAAGAGGATTGCCATTCAATAACATAGGAATGTTGACCATATTACGGTAGTTGTTTGCAGTAAGCAATTGGGTTTTTTTAGAGTTGAAATTCACAAGCCACTGTGAACCCCAATCTATTTCTGAAGTGAGAAGACCAGCATGCCAAATTTTGTCGAAAGCTTTAGATATGTTGAGAGCAACCGCCCTAGCCTCACCTCCTCCATCTAATGCACGATAAAATCTTTCAGTTACAGCAGTTAGCAAGTCGGCTGTAAAGCGAGAGGATCGAAAACCGTATTGATTGTCTGACCGTAGTTTATTTGACTCAAGATGAGATGTGAGGAATTTTTGATCAAAGACTCAAAGACCTTGCTAATAACAGAAAGAAGACTGATCGGACAATAATTGGAGGGGTCAGAATTTTCTCCAGGGTTTTTGAATATTGGAACCACAGATGCCATTTTCCAACAAGCAGGTAAACAAGACTCAGTCAAACACTTGTGTGACACTGTATGTGTGTGGTACAAACCTGTGTGACACTGTACAAACTTTTAATAATTTAATAAATTTGAAACCATTTTTTTTTTTTTTTTTTAAACATAACTGAAGAAAAATTAAACTGATAAGCACTTTTGTTATATAGTTTTTTTTTTCAGTTTCAAGTTTTTCAAAAGTTTTAACTTTTTAAGTTTCATTTTATCAGGGTACATAGTTTCATTGTTCTTCTAAACGCACCAGTCATTTAAAGCCATTTCTGGTGATTTAAAAAGTATTTTTAGAACTTACAGGTCATTAACATAGTTTATTTGAAAATCTGGTGACTTTGAGTCACATGTTTTTAATAATAACTTGCATTCATTAAAAGAATTGACATGATGAATTTATAGTATTCCCGATGTGTTTTTGACTTCTAACCGAGATTTTTAGTTGTCTGTTTTACTAATGATTTCATCATTGCTAATATAGAGAATATTAGTAGCTATCATTAATGGTTTGAAAACATTGAAAAAAATCCATAGGCGTTTATGCACACACTTTCTCATTCTTGCTCATCATTTAAACAAGAGACTTAACTCTTCGTCCAACACCATCTTTCATCCTTTTTTTTATGTGAAGTTGCAAAAAATTTCCACTCAGATGTTTTAATTTATTGCAAAGATAATTGGTTTAGTAATTTTATTATAAACTTATTTTAAATTTTGATGATGGGCCATCAGTGAAAAGAGTTTTAGTATCATTATTATAGTTTTCAGACATATGTATCGCATATAGTTACCCAACAAAACAGTAAACACTAACTTTTCCCTTGTCTCAAGTGTCTGAACAGATAAGATATGTTTTGCAATTATTGTTGTTGAAAACAGTACCATTGAACAATTTAACAGTGTTCCTACTCCACAGTGCACTTTGTACTTCATTTGGATATTTGCAAATATATGCCATTGCAAAATCCACCTGAAGAAGTCCTTCTCCAGCAATCCACTTGTCTTTTTCAAATTTTTTTTGTTTGTTTGTATGAATCTTTTTCTGTACTGTTTATTTTTACATTTTATTTTTCACATATTCTTAATCCTTTTAATTTTTATTGAACAGTATTCTTTGACAGCTTTTCCTTTTTCTCTAAAGTTTTTTAATCTTTCAGCTCAAGACATTTTTATTTTAATTATATATTAACCTAAACTTAAAGCAGGAAAATAATAAAATTTACAAAGACCTTTAAATCAATAATTTATAGAATTATTTAACTCATCTTTTTAAGCTAATTCTATTTAAGCTATTTTTATTTGTTAAAATTATATTAAAATAGTTATGAAAATGCTTTTATGTAATTATAACAATATTAAATATTTATTTATTATAATAAATGGAATATAATATACTGACATTAAAAATCAAAAATTATCAAATTTTAGCAACTGTTTAGAAATTGATATCAATATTTTTCCATACACTAAACAAAAACTTTTAAATGTATTTTAAAATGTAAATTTAGCTAGTTTATTGTAAAAATATGCAAAAAAATTGTTAAAAAGGTATGATTGAAAAATTAGTTCTCTGGTTTTACTAATTTGAGAATCGCCCTATTAGATGAAATTAAATTATAAATTGATTAAAGCTTCTAAAAATATTAAAAATTAAGTATCCTATATAATAAATGTATTACTAGATTATATACTCATATGAGTCACTTTAAGATTTTTTTCATTTTAAGCCACTTTATTTGAAACGGCATTGTCCCGATATCTTGCTGATATCTTTCATATCAGCATTAGATTGGTATTGTTTCACTTCATCAGGCCGATGAAGTGAAAGGGTGTTAGCTCAATAAATAAAATAAATTAATAAATGTTCCATTCCCAAATGACATTGCACAGATATTCAAAACCATATAATAAAACATATTTTTAATATTCTATTGTACTAATTAAAAAATTGTTCTAAGTATAATAGTATTTTTTGAAACCATAAAAATTAGTTGTGGTTCCATATATAATAAAATAATTTTTTTTATAAAAGCAAAGTTATAAAATTTTAAGTTTTATTCAGTATAGTAGACATTAACTTTTAAAATACTATTTATATACGGAATTAGTTTAAATATTCAAATTATTTAACAGTATAGCTTCACCAAAAAATATAAAGTAAAGATCAATATTTGGAATACATTTGTAAACTGGCTTTAAAATAATGAGTAAATTTTAATATCTTTATTTTGTACAAAAAGTGTCACACAATTTTGGGAACCTATGAAAATCTATGAGAAGTGTTCGAACTAGTAAATGAATATAAATACAAGCTATTTAAACTATATATATTACATTATTATATACCCTATTTTTCCATTTTTGGTATCTTTAACATTTTAAAATAATTTTTAAGTTTAATTTTTAAAGTTTTAACTTGTGTTATTAACTTATTTAGTAATCCACTTTTTTTCACCTGAACAAAAATATTTGTTACTTTGTTTTTGATTTTATTCACCACAATTTGTACTATTTGCCTGTTAGTTTTTTTGTTTTTTTTTGTTAATAATAATAAGAATATTAGTGACATTTACAGACTTACTCAAAAAAATAAATTAGTTTCTATAATATATTATTCTTTTCATCAATATAACTCTTCCGTTTCTGTAGATATTTAATTAGAGGCAAAAACTTTATAAAAGTATACCATAAAAAGTGATAAACAATGAGAAAGCTGAAAACAATGATAACACTCACTTTGAGGCAAGTAAGAAAATTGGCTAGCTCAAGATTTTTAATATATCTTAAATCATCAGTTGATGAAGTTGGATAACTGTGTTGCTCTTTTGGAAAAGCTTGTAACAGAACAAAAAAGCAAAAAAAACAAACAATGTTACTAAATGTTTTAGGTAATAGTGTGATAGATTGGGTTGATGTACTTAATGGTGTATCACAAGGGTCTGTTCTAGGTCCTTTCATTTTTCTGGTATTAAAAATAATTTACCAGAAAATTTTATTAATGAATGTTGTTCATATGCTGATGATAAGAAGATAATTGCGCCTATTTTTTCTCAAAATGATTCACAGTTGTTTTAAAATAATATAAATAAACTTGACGAATGGTCTACAAAATGGATATTAGGATTAAATTTTGAAAAATGTAAAGCTATGCACTTTGGCTCAAATAATAAAGAATATTTGTATTTTA